TTATACAATAATTCAATTTATCCCATTACTCTTATCATTACTGTGATAACTAGTCTGTATCATCAAGCTGTGTTTGTGTGCTCATTTTTCAGCCCTTTGTCGGAATAGACTGCGAAGAGCAGACTGCTGTGTTTGTTTATGAAATGGGAGTGATGCATCAGTAATGCGATGATAACACGTTTTGAAGGGTATGTGTGCGTGCGCGTGGGGTCGCGGATCCGGACTAATTTCAACTTTTTACATATTCCATAACAAGCTAGAGAGAGCGCAGTCTGCTCTAAGAGTCATTCAGAAGTTAAATTATGAGAGCTCCATGTCGAAATCCAATAACCATGCGGCAGATAACGAACATACAGTGTTCATAATCCCATAATCCTTTAAAATTGCTATGACATCACTATGCTCCCGCGGGCAACAGCGGCGAGACGTCCGGGAACGGGTCCGAGGGTGGGGGCGTGTCCTAAACTTGCTTCGCTTTTATGGATTCTGGGTGTGGAAGCCACATTGAATATTCCGGTTCAGTTTACGTGCACATCATTTTAATTAATTCGCGCTCACCAGGCACAGATTTGGTGGGGTAACAATCTCAGCGCACTCCACCCAGTTGACACCATATGCCTTCAGTCCTATCTCAAGGGCTCTGTTTGTGTCTTGAGGAGGCGGTAGTATTTTGAGAGACAGATTAAAGTGTGTGTAGGTGTCAGAGAAAGAGAATGCTTGAGATTTGTCTCTGTTGGTATGTACAAAGTGATTGTGCATTATTTAAACCTCACTTCCTGCATTGTCGGTACAAGCACCGCTTTAAAAAGGCATATATAGGTGATAGTGAATATAAATGGCCATCACAGTATGTGTGTGATTATCTGTTAGTCCCTCTCTCTTGTGAATATGTATTATTGCCGCCTGCCCGTTCAGGCCCAGCCGTGACAGATGCTCACCGGGCCGAGGCCACCTGCTGCTGTGGCCACAGGGGAGGGGTTAGTGGGGTGAGCAGAGAGGACAGCAGGGTTGTGTGTGGGGGGAGGGAAGGGGTCCGCCAGATACAAGCAATTACAAATCAACAGCAGTGGTGAGACACAATCACAAACCCTTCTTCTTGATGGAACGTACCCCCTATTCTTGCCGTTCCCATGGTAACTCATAGAATAGCTACGGCCTTGTAGCTGACAGCTACCTGAATGTGTATGTGTGTGCATGTGTGTTAAGGGCCCCCATGTGCGCTCTGTGAAGTGTGTACCCCTGTAATCCGCAGGCTGGATTTTTGGGGATTAAAGATCAGACCATTAGAGCTCTCACTCTTTCGCTTCTCTCTTTTCATCTCACAACCTACATCCATAAAGACCGTATAGAATAGACTGTCTTTTTAGTCTTCTGTGCAGACAGGCATCTTATTAATAATTTTGTGCAACACTATATTTAGTGTCGACGTTGATGCAGGCATGAATAAAACAAGATTGTGCTTGATATTAAAGTCCTTCAAAACTGAACATGGTTCTCGTGGTTTTGGACCACATAAATACATGTGACTTTTTTTTCCCACTCACTTTGAATTCTAACTTCAAAATCCACAGATACTAGCACCTGTGAGACTGAAGCGATGGATCTCAGCAGTCAGCAGCACACCAACTGAGCCCAGGACATGAGCGCTGTCTGCGGTTCTGAACAGATCAGGTGTTGCACTCATTTTTTAATGGTTCAGAGATTTTAAAAAAAAATTTAAATGAGGTGATTTTTTGGGTTCTACACACTGTTGCATTCACATTTGATTCAGTTTGCAAATTTGTTAGTGATGTAGAGATTTTTTAAATAGTTTTTATTGTAATATTTGATCCAATTAGATAATAATAATAATGCGTTACATTTATATAGGGCTTTTCTAGGCACTCAAAGCGCTTTACATTGTGAGGGGGGGATCTCCTCGTCCACCACCCGTGTGCAGCATCCACCTGGATGATGCGACGGCAGCCATAGTGCGCCAGAACGCCCACCACACACCAGCTTATTGGTGGAGAGGAGACAGAGTGATGAAGCCAATCAGCAGATATGGGGACTGTTAGGAGGCCATGATAGTCAGAGGCCAAGGATAGGATGCCGAGGTCACACCTCTACTCTTTTCGAAAGACATCCTGGGATTTTGAATGACCACAGAGAGTCAAGACCTCGGTTTAACGTCTCATCTGAAGGACGGTGCTTGTTGACGCTATAGTGTCCCCATCACTATACTGGGGCGCTAGGGCCCACTCAGACCACAGGGTGAGCACCCTACCTGCTTATTAGCATGCATATTACTATCATATTGGCTGTTTATTAGTACTTATAAAGAACATATTAATACCTTATTCTGCTCTCTAAAAAATGCTGGGTTAAATACAACCCAGTGCTGGGTAAAATAGAGACAGACCCAGCAATTGGGTTGTTTTGTCCCAGCGGTTGGGTTAAATGTTTAACCCAACCTCCTGGGTAGTAACCCAACTGCTGGGTCAAAACAACCCAATTGCTGAGTTTGTCCCTATTTAACCCAGCATTTTTTAGAGTGTACATGATCATATTCTAGATCCCTTAACCCTACCCAATACCTAAGCAATGCTACAAATAACTACTGTACCTTACTTATTATCAATAAGCAGCAAGTTAGAAGTTTATTAAGGGGAACTCTTGAATGTGTTCCCTAATCTAAAGTTTTACCAGTTTTATTTAAAAAAAGGATAATTTCTTTATCTTTATTGTATTCACATTAGATTTACATACACATGAGATCAGTACGCTAATTTGTAAATGCTTTAGGGAATGTAATTTTTAGATTTAATATTTCTGCTGTAGACATTATTGTTGTTAATTATTGTTGTTTGAGCAGATGCTCAAAAGTGACTTACAATGCATACATTTTATGGTAACAGCAATTGGGTTGTTTTGTCCCAGCGGTTGGGTTAAATGTTTAACCCAACCTCCTGGGTAGTAACCCAACTGCTGGGTCAAAACAACCCAATTGCTGAGTTTGTCCCTATTTAACCCAGCATTTTTTAGAGTGTACATGATCATATTCTAGATCCCTTAACCCTACCCAATACCTAAGCAATGCTACAAATAACTACTGTACCTTACTTATTATCAATAAGCAGCAAGTTCTAAAGTTCTAAGTTCTAAATCTAAAGTTTTACCAGTTTTATTTAAAAAAAGGATAATTTCTTTATCTTTATTGTATTCACATTAGATTTACATACACATGAGATCAGTACGCTAATTTGTAAATGCTTTAGGGAATGTAATTTTTAGATTTAATATTTCTGCTGTAGACATTATTGTTGTTAATTATTGTTGTTTGAGCAGATGCTCAAAAGTGACTTACAATGCATACATTTTATGGTAATCAGACCTTGCTGTTGCTAGAGTCATGCTCTACTGTTTAAATATAAATCCTTATCGTCCACCAGTATAGGCATTGAGAAACTACTTTATTTGGGGAACGATGAGTAACACTGTGATAGCTCTTCTCAGAGGCTGTTTGGCGAGCTGGTAAATCGCAGGCGGGTTGATCAGAGTTACCCGTCAGTCTATCAGTCAGGTTTCACAGAAGAAGCTCTCAGTTATGGGAATTCCTCTCCTCCTCACTTAATGTGATTTAGGGCTGCCGTGACTGTGTGATATAATACCATCAAGCGTCTAGACATGAATCTCATCCTCCACAGTCAACGAGGAAAATTCGCAAATCATCTTTTTTTGCTTAGTCTCCACTGGTAACTGCACACAGAAAGCACAAGCCCTTTACCACAGTCAGCTCTGCTCAGCTCAGACTAGAGCACGAGAACAGTGGGGCGCGAGGGGCAGCTTACTGAGAGAGAGAGAGAGAGAGAGAGAGAGAGAGAGAGCGTGTGTGTGTGTGCGCGCACAGTAAAATTGAGCCGTATGAATTTTTCAACATCCGTGGATTCGTTCCAACCGGGTCAGTGGCAGGCAAACTGTGTGAGACACAGATTGGTTTTTGTAACGCGCAAGTCTATTTCTGACTAAGCGTGGATTTCACATCCGCCATGCGGGGCTGTGACACGCGCCTCCGAAATTCACCCACATGCAGTGTGATTTAAAACAGGAGAAAAATCATAGTTAAAAAATGTCTCCGTGTCAAACAATGCATTCAAAATGAGACCATGTCTACCGAGTGGGAGGTAAAGCTGGCAGAAGAAAGAAAAGGTGATATGAATTCAATGCAATGAATAAAAAAAAAACACCTCAGGAAATCGTTCCGTGAATAAGACATGACGTCACAGGTGGACACCGACTGATTATTACAACTATACCATAGACTGTAAAAAACAGAGCTGTACACAAAACCACCATCCGCCCCCAAACCCCCACTGACGTTAATGTATTGGGGGTTTTTTCGCACAAAAAAAAAAAAATGCTGTGCTTGACATTTGTTGATTAAATATTTTATCATGTTGTTAATCATATATTTAAAACAGAATAAAATAAATGGTAAAAAATGGAAATGCTTAAAGTTACCTTACCATGTGCTGGAGGAGATTATAATATATTTAACTGCACATTACATGCCATTTTGCTATAAAATAGGCCTACTAAAATGTAAATTAAATTATGAGTTATTGCTTGGATAAAATTAATGTTGTATTCATGTTTTGTTCATTTTTTATTGCATTACATCAGTTCCATATATGTGATACACAGAAGCTGTTTTATCATGTTATCTTAGCCACTGTTCATGTAAACGTCACTAATGATAAACTTGTATGGATGTATGGATTTATTGAATGGGCCTATTTATTAAATATGAATTCCTTTCCATTTCCATGTTCCATATTTAATTAATTAAATGCTATTGTTTTCACTTTGATATTGATAGGTTGTAGGATAGTACCTCTCCAGCGTTGGACATGAGTGAGGAGAAACAGCCTTGCGCACACTGGAACGAACCATTCCCGTCTCAGAGAGAGAGAGAGAGAGAGAGAGAGAGAGAGAGAGAGAGAGAAGCGAGAGGGGGAGGAGTGAGGGTAGAACCGGGTTCGCTGTGAGCCATGTTGGATGTGAATGAGAGATGCTGCGCTCGTGCCGCTGCTAGCCGGAGCTCTACCAAACACCGAGAGTAGATGCGAGCTTCCCGGGATCACCGAGCGACCGGGGAGCACGGCGGAAGGTGTCGGGCGGTGGGGGTTGAGCTGGCCACTTAGCCGGCGTTTGGAGAGAGAAAGAGAGACACTTGGGTTCAGAGAGAGGGGAGAAAGGGGGGGGGAGAGAAAGGATTTCACCAGACTAATGGCTGCACTGCTACTGGATTTGGGCTCGCTTTCGCCGCTGTTTTTTCTCCTTCTTCTCAGCTCTTTGTTCACTGTTATCCCGGGGAGTGCAGCGGGGCCGTTCTGTCGTTCATTATGCACCCACCCAGCCCCCGGAGACGCTAAAATCACCAGCCTGCCTGACGGAACGGTAACGGGGGCTTTGGCTGGGGGCGATTGGAAGATCCACCCTGCACGGACGCTACGGTCGCGTGGACGGGAATCGCAATGCTTACGGTCCTGTGCAGAGGGAACCCCCTCAGCTCCGTTGAGTCCGGATTACCGGAATTCTAGTGCATGGATATCAGAACCGGCGGCGCACACCGGACGCAGTCATCACCAGCCTGTTTGGAGGAACGGTGGCAGTGGAGAGAAGGGCGTTGTTTCTCGTGTTCTCTCCTCTCCGGTTCAGTATGGCAAAAAGAGGACTATACAAAGGACTAGAACGCACTCGCGGCCACAGACGCGCCTCGACACGGACAGGGTCATTGCACAAAGCGTGCTGGATAGCTGTAGAACCGTGGATAGTCAATCCAGGCCTAACCTCTGCCCATGTCACCCAAAACGGGAGTTTGCCGCTGCCAAGACACCAACTCGGCCGCTATTAAAAGCCTATTCTTATTCTAATTTGGTTTCGGACGCCAATAAATTGTGCAAAGCGACAGCGGGCCGTCTACTCTCAGGCCCCCTGAATGTTATCGATCTCACCAGAGAGGACTGGAAAGGGTCAGGCATTAGGAATATCCGCGGGTGCTCGGGACCGTGCTCGTGGCAGCTCTCTCTAGGGCTTGGAAGCGAAGCAAGCAGCTGTCTCGAGTCACACCGGATCACAGGTTGTTCTGAAATGCATCCAGACTGGCACAGCAGTAACTGGCACCGGTTCAACATCTCTCTGAGGCGCTACGCTGTTTGTGGAAGGCAGGCAAGAGAAAATACAAACACCACATCTTCAAATAAGAACTTAGAAGTAGAATTTGTGCATGCAAAGTCTGATCGGAATAGTTCACAAAAGTCTTCTTGTGCGCTCAAACGGACTGATGCTCTGGATTTAATGCTACAGGCTGCCTGGGTCAGGACTGAGACTCGCTTTGTTGGCAGAAAGGCTCATTATAATGGATCAACTGGAACCAGCGCTGCTCAGTTGTATATCGGCGATGTACATAACTCTGACTCATCTGCTACTGGCTCTCCCAGGTATCACACATCACCACATATCTACCTCTTAGTCGAGTTTAACTTTCCTAAGCGTTTTCGTGACTCGCACATTCACACGCGAGAAGATTCAGCACCCGCTCAGTGGACAGCGCCAATCTCCGTGCGTGAGCTCGCACACTCCAATGACTTTACTCAAAGTTTGTTGCTGAGGAATTGGAACAGTAACAATAACAACAACTGCGCCAAGAATCGTAACGATAACCACCAAAACAACAGCAGTCCTGATTATCAAAATGCAAATGAAACCCAAAATGTTCCTGACAGTGAAAAGCTCGACTTTGTAAGAGGGGAAAGCGCACGTTATCCTTGCTCTAGTACGCGTGCAGAGTGTGGCGACTACGACAGCTTAACCGCCGATGGGGGAGCCACGCGGCCGCAATTAAAATCCGGTAAACGGGTGTCATTACAAGCTGAGGGTGTCAGTCAGCAAGAGGAGCAGCTGGAAGCCGCGACTGAGTGCGGTAGGGAGGGACAGATAGAGGGCGGGGTGAAAGGGGAGGGAACGGAGGAGGGAGACAGACAGCCTGTAGAGGGAGAAAGGGAGGAAAGCATGGAGTGGGTGATTGCAGAAGACACAAAGGAAGAGGTAGTGTTAGAAGAGACAAATTTACTGAGAGAAAAAGAAAAAGGTCAAGGCAATGGCACCTTTCAGTCAGACAGAAAAAGCGATGAAAACAAAGAGGGAATGTGGACTGAACAGAATGAGCTTAAACAGAGTCTAGATGGGGTGGGAAACACACAAAAAGCTCTGTACAGTGAGAAACAAAAAGCAAGAGAGAGCGATGAAGTTCAGAGAGGAGAAGAGCAGGAGTACAACGAAGAGCAGACAGGTGTCCCTCCTGTTGGGCGCTCCCGTAGAGCTGCTAATAGGCACCCCCATTTCCCCCAGTATAACTACCAGGTTCATGTTGCTGAGAACCAGCCTCCTGGTACCTCAGTCATAACTATGACAGCTGAAGACCCTGATGCTGGTGAGGCAGGCAGACTCAGTTACAGCATGGCCCCTTTAATGAACAGCAGGTCCATGGATTACTTCCAAATGGACCCAATTACTGGCCTTCTCACCACCACACACATTCTGGATCGAGAACACATGGACCTGCACTACTTCCGAGTTACTGCCACAGACCATGGCTCACCACGCCTTTCTGGAACAACTATGGTGACCATCACTGTGACTGATCGTAATGATCACTCTCCCGTGTTTGAGCAAACAGAATACCGCGAGACCATTCGAGAGAACGTGGAAGAGGGATATCCTATCCTGCAGCTGCGCGCAACAGATCTCGACTCGACAGCGAACGCTAACATACGCTACAGATTTATTGGAGAAAGTGTGGCTGTTGCACGCACTGCGTTTGAGATCGATCCTCGATCAGGCTTGATCACAACACGAGGTATTGTTGACAGAGAAGTAAATGAACGTTATACATTGTTGGTGGAAGCAAGCGACCAGGGAAGAGAGCCGGGCCCACGGTCGGCTACCGTTAACGTCCATATTACTGTGTTGGATGAGAATGACAATGTTCCACAGTTCAGTCAAAAGCGGTATGTGGTTGCAGTTAGAGAGGATGTCCGACCACATTCTGAAATCCTCAGAGTCAGCGCCTCGGACCAGGATAAAGATGGGAATGCTGCTGTGCACTACAACATAATCAGCGGGAACAGCCGAGGACAGTTTGCGATTGACAGTGTTACTGGAGAAATCCAGGTGGTAGCACCACTGGACTATGAGACGGAACGGGAGTACATGCTACGGTTGCGGGCTCAGGACAACGGCCGTCCACCTCTCTCCAACAACACTGGAATTGTGAGTGTGCAGGTCACTGATGTCAATGATAATCCACCAATCTTTGTATCCACGCCTTTCCAGGCTACAGTGCTGGAGAGCGCTCCTATCGGTCACTCCATTCTTCACATACAAGCTATTGATACAGATAATGGTGACAATGCACGCCTGGAATACCGTTTAACGGGAACCGGCACGGATACACCATTTGTTATCAACGCTGCCACTGGTTGGGTCACAGTGAGCTCAGAACTTGACCGTGAATCAGTAGAGCATTACTTCTTTGGTGTTGAAGCTCGAGATTATGGTGCCCCACCTCTTTCCGCCACAGCTAGTGTTACAATCACAGTTATGGATGTTAATGATAACCGACCAGAGTTTCTACAAAAAGAGTATTACGTCAGACTAAATGAAGATGCAGCTGTTGGAACAAGTGTGGTCAGCATAACCGCAGTTGACCGTGATGTAAATAGTGCCGTCACGTATCAGATCACAGGTGGAAACACACGTAATCGCTTTACCATTAGTACAGCTGGTGGAGCAGGACTTGTCTCCCTAGCACTGCCTTTGGACTACAAACAGGAGCGTCGCTATGTGCTAACAGTCACTGCTTCTGACAGAACTCTCCACGATACCTGTCAGGTGCACATCAACATCACAGATGCCAACACACACCGTCCCGTATTCCAGAGTGCTCATTATTCAGTAAGTGTGAATGAGGACCGGCCTCCTGGCAGCACAGTGGTGGTCATAAGTGCAACAGATGATGATGTTGGAGAAAACGCCCGCATCACTTACTACCTGGAGGACAATATTCCACAGTTTCGCATCGATCCTGCAAGCGGAGCGATCACACTTCAAGCAGAACTAGACTACGAAGACCAAATGACTTACACGCTTGCCATCACTGCTCGTGACAATGGAATCCCTCAGAAATCTGACACCACTTATGTGGAGGTCAATGTTAATGATGTAAATGACAACGCACCTCAGTTCCTGAGCCCCAGGTATCAGGGTGGAGTCAGTGAGGATGCTCCACCTTTCACTAGTGTGCTACAAATCTCCGCTACTGACCGTGATGCGCATGCCAATGGCCGTGTCCAGTATACGTTCCAGAATGGAGAAGATGGTGATGGTGATTTCACCATAGAACCAACCTCGGGAATAGTCCGGACCGTCAGGAGACTTGATCGTGAAAGTGTTCCCTTCTATGAGCTGACTGCATTTGCTGTGGATCGCGGTGTTCCACCTCAGCGTACACCTGTACACATTCAAGTCAGTGTCATGGATGTCAATGACAATGCTCCAGTGTTTCCTGCTGATGATTTTGAGGTTCTAGTGAAGGAGAATAGTGCCGTTGGGTCCGTCGTAGCTCAAATTACAGCGACTGATCCAGATGAGGGCCCAAACGCTCAGATTATGTATCAGATTGTGGAAGGAAATATTCCAGAAATCTTCCAAATGGACATTTTTTCAGGAGAACTCACTTCTTTAATTGACCTTGACTACGAAACACGGAATGAGTACGTAATTGTTGTCCAGGCCACATCGGCTCCACTAGTCAGTCGTGCCACGGTGCGCATACGACTGGTTGACCAGAATGATAATGGGCCCCAAATGCAAGACTTTCAAATCATCTTTAACAACTTTGTATCCAATCGATCTAACACCTTCCCAAGTGGGGTTATTGGACGTGTTCCAGCCCATGACCCAGATGTTTCGGATCGTCTCTACTACACCATAGACCGTGGGAATGAGCTACACCTGCTGCTGTTGAACCACACGAGCGGGGAGATCCGCCTCAGCCGGAAACTGGACAACAACCGACCACTGGTGGCCCCGATGCTTGTCACCGTCACTGGTAAGACCAAGAGGGGGAGGAAACGATGTGTGGGAGAGAGGGAGGAAGAAATTGGAAAATGAGGCAAGGGCTATTAAGGTCATAAGGATGAAATCAAATCAGGTCAAATTGGTTTTGCTAACTCTTTTCTGCAGTGCTCTATTATGAAATATTGCTGAAGGCAATGTGTCAGTGTAGAGGGTGCATGTTAGAGGAAAAATAGAAAGAATAGAAAATATCTTCAGAGAAAGCCGACCCTTGACTTGCATTTTTCTCTGTAAAGACATTTTGCGATCAATGTAAATTACTTTATGCTGGATTGATTTCCACTGGCATTAGCAGGTACTGTAACAGGAGTCTCAGTGGTAACTTGAGCGAGTGTTAAGTGCTGAGAAGAGCATTGCTTGGCCACAATGGCTGATGTTGTTGATTGCATTGCTGGGAAGTGTAGATAATTGTGGCTTTTGAAAGGTTATAAATGGTGATTTGTTATTTACAGACAAGGTGACTAAAATGGTAAATTTAACATTATGTGTGGGGCTTTGTGGCTGCTTTGTGTTTATTTATCACTTAGGAAAAAAAATCCTGCTTGACTTGAACAATACTGCTGATTTAGTTCTGTGTTTTACCTTATCTGCCAGTTTGTGTGTGTATATGTATGTAAGGCATATAGGTTGGGGAGTTTGTAAGACTGCAGTGTTAGACAGCTCAGTTACCCTCTGGTAAAATTCTCTCTCTCTCTTCTGAGGAAAGCACACTTCCGTTTCCATCCCCCCTTTACTCTTTATTTCTCATTCATTGCCTCCTTGCTTTTCTGTCCATCTCTTTCTCTCAGTATTTTCCTTTTACAAAAAATATTTTTCTGTTGGGTTAAATCGTCTAAATATGTGTTTCTAAATAAGCTGAGTGGCTTTCTATAACACTCTAGAAAATGCTGGGTTGTTTCAACTCAACTTTGGGTCAAATATGGATTAACCCAACTTTTGGGTTAAAAATGTAATGTAAAAATTTAACCCAATGGTTGGGTTAGTCCATATTTGACCCAAAGTTGGGTTGAAACAACCCAGCATTTTTTAGAGTGTACACTGTACAATTTAATCATTAAGTTTTGATGTCCCAAGGGAAATGGAAGGTTAAGTTGAAGGAATTTCCTATTAAATAATTCCTTTGTATTTCGCTTCACCCGGAGAAACAGCAGTTACAGTTTTCTAATGAGCACGGCCCATTCATTGTCTGTAAGATGAAATTACATAGTTTGGAACTCAATGTCGCTTTTATCTTGTTATTCTCCAAGCAAGGCAGATGTGCTTATATTTATGTGATTAGTTTATTTTGCTATTCCCTCTATGATGTGATGTACAAAATACACATTTTAGGTGTAGTTAAAATCGTATTGGTCTTAGAAATAATGCATTTATACCAGAATTAAATTGTGTGTACATTCTGGTAAATGTAGTTTAATAGAGGATTACAGACAGCCCTCTTATCTTGCATGCTTTCTCTTGCATTCTCTCTCTCTCTCTCTCTCTGTTCTACTTTACTTTGAGTGTAATAGGACGTCCTTAGGGGAAGCCTGGCTTTGGAAACAAACGGAGCACAGTAATCAGCTGTCAAACTAGTGCCCAAGATTTTATGTGTGTGTGTTTGGGTAATCAGATGGTTTAATGTTCATTCATGCAAGCATCTACTTCTACTATGTTTCTGCCTACATCTGGATTTGTTTGAGCATATATTAAGTTTGTGTTTATACACATATGTTTTTGTGCGTGTGTGTGTGTGTAAGTGTCTGTATAGTTGAGTGCCTCTTGGCTGATGGGGGTAGAAATATATTTCCAGATGACTAATTTCAGCTATGAAGGGCAAATACATCTAAACATTTCACTCTGTTTTTGTGTGCAAAAACACACAAACAGAGGCCCTGGAGACCTAGGGTCTGTTTTGGTCAGGCTAGATTTGTAATGTCAGTGTTTACAAGCGTGTTAAATGTGTGAGCTGCTGTTGTGGAATTTGTGAGCATGTGCATGTATCAGGTTTGTTGTGTCAGGTAGAGAAACCTGAAAAACCTATACTGTAGGGACCTCTGAGATCTATTTGTTTATTTCATGTTTTTGTGAGCTGGTAGAAGCTATTTGCATGTTTTCCTGCGACCCCAGCAAGAACTGCTTCAAACACACAGAGTTTTTATTTTTTTTCTAACAATCCCCCGCTGCAAAACAAGCCTAAAATAAAGTTCACTTTAGAGTGGGTAAGTGAGCTGGATTATAAAAGATTAAAAGGATCTGAGAGAGGAATAGAAAGAGATACAATGAAGAAAGGATAGGCTTGGGGAATGTGTAGAGGAAGAAAAAGAAGAAAACAGATTGAGAAAGAGATGATAACAAAACACTCAAGTGGAAAAGAGAAATGGAGGATGGCGAATGACAGGCAAGTGATTGAACAGGAGGAATAGAAAGAGGAAAAACTGTGATGATGTGTTCAAAGTCTTGGCTTTGAATGGCTGAAAAGAAAATTATTTCAGATGAAAGAAATGGAAAATTGCCCTCTTTGAAATGTACCATACAGCTCTTAATATGCTTTTTAATTAAATACTCTATATATATATGCAATGGTTCTTGTATTTGTGCCTGTACTTAAAAATCATCTTCATAAGTAGTATTTTGATCTTGTTTTCCAGTAAAATAATGAAACATCTTAATAAACAAGTTAATTATTTAAAATATACATGTAAAAGAAAATAATATATTAGGAATTTTTGTTTTCATTTATTTATTTATTGCTTGTTTTAAGCATATATTTCATCAATTTTTATAGATTTATGCCCAAAACAAGCACAGACAATTTGTCAATGGTATTATAAAATAAGTTTCAGAATTCAGAATATGTTCTCTAAAACAAGCCTTAATTTATCAAATACATTTAAAGGATATTTTGAAGTAAAATATGAAACCATGCAGTAATATTGTGAAATATTGTGAAACAATTAAAATAATTGTTTTCTATTTTAATGTTTAAATTCCGCATTTATTCCTGTTATGCAAATTTGAATTTTTAGCAGCCATTACTCCAGTCACATCCTTCACAAATAATTTGAATATGCTGATTTGATGTTCAACTAACATTGATATGATTTATTATGTTGAAAACAGCTGTGCTCCAAACAGAAATCTTTCGTAACTTTATAAATATCGTTACTGTCATCCTAATTTTTCATATTCCACTCCTTCCACTGATTGCTAATGTCAAACATCATAGACACAAATATTAAACAAACAGCAAAGAAACACACACACACACACACACACACACTGCTGATTTGACTTTTCCTCTGTGGGAGCCCGAATGTGTTGATTTAATCAGCATGACTAATAATATTTTCTGCTGTAATCTACATTAATCATTTAAATCAATGTTTTGTTTAGTTTTATTTAGATGTTGAGTAACCATAATGTGTTGCCCCTGCACTAGTTGTGGCTGTTTACAGTAATTAAGATCATTACTTGTCATTTTGCTGTAATTGCTATTATTTGTCAGGCCTCAGTGATTATTGGAATATGACAGAAAAGGATAAGCAAGATATTGCTGATTTGCTTCCGTTGTGTTTTGCACCATGTGTTTTTTAGTTTAATGGCTTTGTGGTGTGTTAGAGAGAAGCAGGGACTGTTTTGGGAGGTCAATAGGGAGCCACTGTCTTATAATCCTGTAATCAAAGCAGCTGCCTCCTCGCACCCTTCCCCCACTTCTCCTGTACCTCCCTTTCCCTCCCACCCCTTCTTTCTATCCGTCTTTTCCTCATCCCAGTCTTTCCCACAAACACACTTTCCCGGATCTCTTGTCTGCTTGATATTGCCTTCATCTTTCTGGCATCTATGTAAACACTCCCGCTTCCCTGCCTCTAACCCCTTTCGCTCTTTCCATTACACACTCTCTCTCTCTCTCTCTCTCTCTCTCTTGCACAGGGTGGCATTTCATCAAAGAAGGATATAATCTCCTTAGACACCAAGACATCTAGTGACATTAAAAACTTCAAGCCGCGACTCTCGTCCTCTTGTAGACACTCACACATTGTGCTTGACTTTATTTCTCCATGTTATAACAGCACAAGTTGAGTTGAGTCAAACACTTCAGTACTTTGGAAAACTGTTTAAATATTTTGCGCTAAACTGTAATTTACAAGCAGTACATGCAAACAGTGTTTGGTGTGGTCTGAGCCAATCTGGATTATAGGTTCTTTAAAGGACAGTTCACCCAAAAAGGAAATTCTGTCCTATTTACTTCAAACGTTGTTATATACGGACCGAAATTTACTAGTTTATTCACAAACTATTTATCCTCCAGTGAGCAGTAAACTGTTGCAACCAACATTACCGGTATTTAGTTAGCGAAATTAACTTGAGAATTGCATCACACCAATTTGTGATTTAATTATTTAGACCAGTTTTGTGACCCGGACCAACTGATTAATTGAATGGATCTGCTTAAAAAAAAAAGTCAAGATTTTCAATGAATAAGAAATATGAATAAGAAATATGTTGTTAATTCTGGAATTTTGTTTTGCTACTCTGTAAAAAATAAAACCTATATTACATATATGCTGCAGCAAATACCTGTTTATTAGTTAAAAGTTACTTTGAAAGCTGTAAAATCGTTTAACATCAGATTGTATGTAATTTTACTGTGATATATAGTTAAATGTCTGGTTTTTGCAAGTAAAATGATAAATTACCATATAATTTACAATAAAAACAAACCAAAAAAAATCTAAAAGAACATGCAGAAATCCCTGTGTGACACATCACTACACTCTTAAAAATGCTGGGTTGTTTCAACCCAACTTTGGGTCAAATATGGACGAACCCAACTTTTGGGTTAAAAATTGAATGTAAAAATTTAACCCAACGGTTGGGTTAGTCCATATTTGACCCAAAGTTGGGTTGAAACAACCCAGCATTTTTTAGAGTGTATAATTCTTTTTTTTTTTTTTAAGTTTTGTTTCTTCTCATTTTTGTTGTCAGTAATGTACATTCGAGTTTGTGTTTAATTGGATGTTATTTAATTAACACATTATTTTAGTGTTATGTCTGTTACCCTGATTGTGTTTTTGTCTTTGTATGTATGACTCTGTGCACCATCTATACATTATTTTTCATGTAATTGGACAATATTTGAGCAGTGTCCTTGTTTTATGGACAGGCCACTTAAAATGAAAATCATACAGTTTTCTGTTTTACTACCTTTATTATTATGGTGATTATCAGAAAATTTTGGTGGAAAGGAGATTTGGTATAGTTTAAATATATAAAGAATGCAGCATGAAATATATGGTTATAAGTTATAAAATGCACAGGCACCAATATACCATCCCGGAATACCTGAATCATGTCGCACAATTTTTACAGTGAATAAGGTGTAGTTGAGTCTAAATAACGTCTTGTTTCTGTCTGTGTGTGTGTCTGTGTGTGTGTCTGTGTGTGTCTGTCTGTGTGTGTCTGTCTTCATCTAACCTATTATTTGAGGGGGAAAAAACAACCAGAGATTGGACTACACTCACCACTAAAATAATATACTCTTTTATTTTTGAAGTAGACAACAAGTGATTTGGAGGTTACACGCAGGATGTCATGCCTATATCTACAGTATTTTATCATGCTTTAGAGTGTTGTTTTCAAATAGACAGGTTATTGACATAAGATTGTCCATGATAAATGGAAAAATCCTTTTGAAACACATTTGCCAAATTCTTAGAAATGTGCTTATTGTTTGTATTTATATTAGATTAATATGGTTTTGAAAAACTACAATTTTAAATAAAATGATCAGTTGACTCTGAAAATGATGTGACAATGTGGTGTAGCCATCAAGTTATGTGTGTGTGTGTGTGTGTGTGTGTGTGTGTGTGTGTGTGTGTGTGTGTGTGTGTGTGTGTGTGTGTGTGTGTGTGAGAGAGAGAGAGAGAGAGAGAGAGAGAGAGACAGAAGTGGGGGATGGATGGTATATTTTACAAGAAATGCTTATCAGCATGACATTATGATCTAGCGTCTCTCTTTCTCCCCTCCCCGATTCATTTTATCTTCTGTGCTTTTATTCTTTCCCATTGCTGACTCCTCCTTACCAGCCTCCAGCAGCCTCACCCCTCACCCCACCTCTCTCTCCTGCTCACTCTCTGCTGAATCATTTCCTCTTCTCTGTGTAATTTTCTTTCACTCAATTTAAATCGACTTCAGAGTGACTTGCTGCCAAGACTGTTTTCATGCACTTTATAGCCAAAACATTTTTAATGCATGCGAGAGAAAATCATTTAGAAAATGGAAAGGCAACTGTGAAAATGTCATCAATGTTGTGCAAACAGCATGGATATACTGAATAACATGAGTCAGAATTGCTTGGACTGGTGTTAGTGGTACTGGAGTATTAAAGATCTTCAAACAGAAACAGCACTCCTGCATGCTTCAGTGTTCACTGTAATGATAATAGTGTAATGGTGTGTATTTTCGGACTCGCAGCCCAAAAAGTGGTAAATGGTCCAAATTCACAGCCAGTGGCTGTAATATTTAAACCATATGAATGTGTACAGCTGGATGTCAGGAGGCTTGTCAAGAACTTGTCTGGGTCATAATTTACCCCCAAAAGTAAATATTTTATCCTCTCAAAGGAAAAGCAAGGCCAGTTTTAGGACCATTTAGATATTTTGGCAATGACATTTTATTTCAATATAACTTATGCATCATAACAGTGTTTGGATTAAATGTATGCTAATTTAAATAAAAAAAATTATTACAGTAAATAAATGATTGTATTGAAGTATTTAAGGGATAGTCCACCCCAAAAATAAAAAATTTTCATCATTTACTCACCCTAATGGTGTAGCAAACTTATATCCATTTTCTTCTTTTGCACAATAAAAAAGAAGATATTTTGAATAATCTTGGTAGCCAAACTATTTTAGTTCCCCTTCCATTTTATTTTGTGTCTATATAATGGAAGTCAGTTAGTTACTAATATTTTTCAAAATATCTTCATTTGTGTTTTACAGAAGAAAGTAAAGCACTGGCTGTTGTCAGACTTCTTGTGCAAACAAAAATCTTACTGGATTATTACAATTAATGGCAAAATGAATGTTCGGAAATGTAAACTGATATTTCCCACTGACACACTACATCAAAACATAGAAATAACTGACTTAAAACCATTTTTAACTCACATGAAGGTGAGTAGATAATGGCAGAATTTTCATTTTTGGGTGGACCATCTATTTAAAGCACAGTCATATTAGCAAAGTTTCGTTCAGAGGTGGACTTAACCATTAGGCAAAGGTAGGCGACCGCCTTGGGCCCCCTAAAATGCTTTTTATATGCGAGATGCGCGTTCAGTGCGGACGCACAAGTGGTTGCGCTGGTGTTCATTACCACGACAACCGTCTGTGCGTCCGCGTTGAACGTGCTTCTTAGCAAAAGTAGGGCGATGTAGAAAATGGGGACGGAATCCCGGAATCTATTCATAAAAACGGAATTTACTGCGTAACGCCGAATGTGACGGAATGAACGGCGCAGACGCGCATTTCGTTTGCTATTTAAGCACGCGCAACGCTCGCGGTTGTCGTCTGTAGTAGCTAAATAGTATTTTTGCCATTTAATATTCACATACACTAGTCCATATCGCGGTTTGATTGAAGTGCACTGAATTGCATTTGATTTATTCATTCAATATTTGACGAATTCCGTGACATTGCTCGTTACACAGTAAACTTGTGTAGCATTTAGAATGTACAAAAATTAAAGGGTTTGTTTAATTTTCATTGGAATAAAAGATAGATTCATGTTTTTGCCTTCATTTGATTACCAGAAAAATGAAAATACACAACACAGAATTTCTAAAAAAAAAAAAGTAAATAAAATTTAAATTTCATATATTTTATTGTATACAAATTAATAAATTAAGTTGTTTTTATGAATTCAATTAATTAGATGTTTTTGATTAAACCATTAAAATTGAATACAGAAAAATTAAAATGGAAAGCACAGAATTTGGGCCCTAAGAATGTAATTTTTGTTAAACTTTTAATAGGCCTAAATTGCTGTTAAATTAAACAAGTTTCATGATTTTAATTAATTAGACATGTTTTTTGTTAAAATTTAATATAATCATCCAGAAAAATTAAAACTGAAAAAAAAAAAAAAAACTGAATCCAGAAAAATTTAAACGGAAAAAAAGATTTTGGAAAAAATAAAACTTAGGCTAATTTGGGAAAAATAAAACGGATTTCATAGGGCCCTAAAAATATCATGCATCTGAAGCTATCATTTTAATACTAAGCAACAGTGCATATTATATATGGCCTATTTTTATTTTTTTAAATGGCGCTCACTCGTTTTTGTGAAAGACCCAAGAAGGACCATGCACTTTCCACACAGGCACACTTCATGTTTGGTTGAAATAATCCTTAAGCATGTAAATGTATAATTTCCATCAGTTTAATTTAAATGTGCAATTAAAATAAATAAAAATAAATGTATATTTTAAAGTTTAGAATTAGACAGCCTTTCGTTGTGTAGACGTGCATAGTGAACATTACCACAACGCACCACCTAGTGTCCAAGCTACTCCTATTATAACCTGTTTAAATATGAACAAGGGATTTACAACATTAAAGAAATCATTTATTTATAACATGTACATGAAAAATCTAAAAGATTGGACACAACTATGGGACACGGTCGTGCAGCAGCGAGCAACAGTGAAAGAAACCTCAAGGTTGTAGATGTGTGAAATTGTATAGGGCCCCATTCCTGTATTTTGCCTGGGGCCCCCAAATCACTAAATCCGCCCCTGAGTGTAGTAATGCGCAAAGTACCGTTCACAAAGAAGTCACTTTAAAACCAAAGCGCTTTGAGTTGGTCAATGTAGCAACTTTAAATGGAAAAACTTTTTCAATGCTGGGAAATGTTTTGCTCTTTTTTTCATGTTTTTTCAATCGCATGGATTCCTATCGAAATTACTAGATTTTGCCTGTGAAATTTCATTGTGCAACAGTAACTGTGAATGTATCTTTACACTAATAAGCATCTTGAGAATCACCATTTAGAAAGAATGCTTGAAAGAAAGAGTTGGTAGCGTGTTTGTTCACAAAAATAAAAAAAAATAAAAAAAAATAATAACAAGTTAAAAAAAGTTCTAAAAATCAACTTAATTTTCTATATACAAAACCTAATGTCTTCTTTTGATTTTGGGGTGAAATGCAACCTGGGCATGTTTTCATTAGGTTCACTTACACAATATCTGTTGAATCTTTTTTTTCTTCCTTTATCCCTCTGTCTTTCCAGCATGCTCTCTTTTCAGCTCTAAACTTTCTGTGTGTATTTCCTAAGTTGTATGTACTGTGTGCGTTTGTACATGTATGAGCATAAGTATGTGTGCATTTAATGGACACATGATTCACTCCGCAGCATGTTGCTAATTTCACAGTCAGTGAGCTGTAGATGATATCACAGGCTGCACTGACACCAACCTGACTCATTTCACATGTTCAGATGGACCTCTGGAGGAGTACAACACACATACTATTAAAGTGTTTCAGATTACAGTAGAGTAAAACATAGGCTATGTGACAGAAGTTGAAGTGATGTTGTGACTGAGCTGTCAGCCATGTTCTTATCACTTAACTTATAAACTAAAGTGATTTGACATACTGCTTTACACATACTGTGATACAGGACAAGGCTTGTAGTTTCCAAGTTTATTGTTGCTCTCTAACTCACTTCATCTTCCTTTGTCTCTGTCTGTTTCTCAGATGGCATTCACAGCATCAGTTCTCAGTGTGTGTTGCGGGTTCTCATCATTACGGAGGAGATGCTCAGCAGCAGCATCACTGTACGACTCCAGAACATGTCCCAGGAGCACTTCCTGTCCCCGCTGCTCACTCACTTCCTGGAAGGGGTGTCAGCCGTGCTTTCAGTCTCTCCTGATGATGTGTTTGTGTTCAACGTGCAGCCGGATGCAGATGCAGGAAAGGTGCTCAACGTTAGTTTCTCCGCTGCATTGCCGGGAGGGCAGTTTTTCCCATCGGAGGCTCTGGAGGAGCAGCTGTACCTCAACAGACATAGACTCAATGCCCTTGCACATATGGAGGTAAAACACATATAAACACACTCAGTTGCCTCGTGAAGATCATTAGATACAGTAAGAATATATAAAACCTAATAGAAATGTCAAATAGTGATTGTTTTGATGTTTTGTAAAATAAAACAATGGCATTCATACATTCTAAAGTGTCGTTTAAGTGTTTTTAAGCACGATGAGAACCATTAAAATGAAATAAATCAATCAATTATCATTTAATAAAAATTAAAAAAAATGTAAATGAATAAATCAATAAACTTATACTAGCGTTCAAAGTTTGGGGTCAGTGAGATTTTTTTTTTAAATATGTTTTTGAAAGAAGTCTCTTATGCTGGTCAAACAGTAGTATTGTGAAATATTATTGCGGTTTAAAATAACTGTCTTCTGTTTTAATATATTTTAAAATATTGTAATTTTATTCTTGTGATGTCAAAGCTGAATTTTCGCATTGTCACATGATCCTTCAGAAATCAGTCTAACATGCTGATTTGCTGCTCAAGTTACATTTCTTATTATTATCAATGTTGAAAACAGTTGTGCAGCATAATATTTTTGTGGAAACCATAATATGTTTTCTTGCAGGATTATTTGGTTAATAGAAAGTTGAAAATAAATCTTTTGTAACATTATAAATGTCCTTTTGCTGTCAAAAAACAACAACAACAACAACAAAAACTTGCTGACCCCAAATAACCCTAATAAACTTGAACTTGAATAAAAATGAATAAACTTCTCAAATGGAGAAAATAAAAATATGTATTTAATTCTATTTATTCAATTCACATTTAAAATGCAATTAAAGGAAATAAGAAATAATTAAAACATTTAAATGCAACATTTAAATAAATTTTTATAGCATTTATAAACTGAAAAATACATAAATGTATCAATTAAATAAAAGCAGTCTCCTAGTCCTCCGTACTTTTTGTGGTGAGAGCACACACAAACATACAGACACACTCATACTTCTCTGACGCTGTATTTTGTATTCCGGCAGGTTCTCCCATTTGATGATAACGTGTGTTTACGTGAGCCATGTCAGAACTACATGAAGTGCATCAGCGTTCTCCGTTTCAACAGCTCCGCTCCCTTTATCGCCTCCCCATCCACGCTGTTCCGGCCCATCCATCCCATCACAGGGCTGCGCTGCCGCTGCCCTGCCGGATTTACGGGAGATTACTGCGAGATTGAAATTAACCTGTGTTACTCAAACCCCTGCATGAATGGAGGAGTGTGCGCACAGAGAGAGGGAGGCTACACCTGCATCTGCCGAGAGGATTACACAGGTGAGAGTGTGATTGTGTATTTCAGGAAGAGATGTCTTATTGTCTCTTTCTAGATGAGGGGAAGTCTTGCAAGGACTTGCAAAAGAATGTCTGGTGCACTTTGCAGTTTATTCTGGTCAAGAATCGCCCACTTATGGTTGGTTCACACTGCCAAAACAAGCGGCAACATTTCAAATGTGTACTAAAGTTGGCTGTTTGATGTACAGTAGAATGATGAAAATAAAAACTGTCATGTTCATGCTGCCCAACACAACACGGCAACAGACAGGTTGACACACTGATCCAACAAACCCAAAAACCCTTGGCATTTGATGTTTTTTGTGTGGTTAGACAGAAAAGCACAGAATGTCTTTTGAAGATTTGATGCTAGGAGTTAGACTGGTTATAGATACAGATTCCCAATTCAGTTAGATTCTAATTCACAAACTGTCAGAAATTTGATTTGATTGGATTCATTTCTGATTCAGTTTTGAATGTCTCTCTTTTTCTCATTTTTTAAAAATCTCTCAGCTAATGCTATAAATTATTTGAGGATCCTTCTTGCTTGGTACATTACAAAAATGTGAATTTATGTAATAATTTTTTGTCAAACTGTCAAATATAAAAATATATAAACAAAAACCGCTCTGTGGATACCAACTGTATGGATATAAACTTTAAATTGTGTTTCTTATGAAAAAACATTTTTATAACAATGTGTAAAATTATTAAAAATTGAGTGGCACATGGGTTGCTCTTAAGCCTGAGTCAAAAGTTGGTTTGTTGCTCCCATGATTGACCTAACAAACGTTTTTTTCGTACTTTATTGGCAAATAGATAAAGAAAAGAATTTGACAAAACAACCAAGAAACGCAATCAGCAAACGGACAAAGAAAAGCAAATGGCTGTAAATGTGTCCATTTAAAAAAAAAATTTAAACATGATTTATTAATTTATTTTTTATCTACATTTTAAAGCATTTAATTTCTTTTCATGTTTAAATGATTCATTTCTTATTTCTTAATATCTCAATTATCACTCCTAGTCCTCCATGCATTTGGACTGCAAATATGGGTAAAATAGACTGACCTAAAAACAGACTTGCTAAAAAAACAAAAAAGTCTTGCTGTGAGCAATCAATTTAGGGATTTTTTTTTAGGGACTCAATATTGAGATCTTTCAAAGGAATATCACAAGTAATGAGAAAATCAATATTTTAACCCAGCCCTGGCTATAAGCGTCTTCGGTGTCTCCAAATCCAGTTCTAGTTCTTCCAAAAAAGCACTTGAAAATTATGCAGCATCCTGCCAATCAAACGATGCCAGTTTTCTGTGCAATATGCATCAGATGGCCAGTGAAGGAGCTGTGAGCGATCTGTGGGCGCACCATCTGATGCTGAGACTAACTGCTAACCGGTTTGTTTTTCAGTGTATATGTGTGGCCATGGGAGCTAAACAGACCTAAACTCTCAGCAGTGAAGTCAGTCTGAAGTTAAATGAGCAACTCTTAGTAATACAAACGCTGCAGTATGAGAGCAAGTGAAAGAGAGAAAAATAAATCCAACGGAAGGATGAAAGCAGGGGCAGATGCAGGATCCCCCGAGGGCCGTACCATGTGTGTGGTGGGGGTTGGGTAGAGAGGGTGGTTTAGCCCAAGAGGAGAAGAATAGCTTTGATGAATTAAACATCATTTGAATGAAGGGGAGAGAATACATTACCAAATATTCTGAGGGGATGGAGTGGATAGGTACCGGGGAGGAGAGTGAAACAGAAAAAGAGGGGAAGAAAGAGGGAAAAGTGCTCTTAAAAGTAAGTCAGGAAGTGAACAGCTGGAAAAGAGAAAGAGCGAGCACCTGACACGCATATAAAAGGACAAAAGTATCTAGAGACTGAAGATAGAGAGACTAAAGATGGAGAGATATTTGCAGAGAGGGTTTTAAAGCCTTTCCCTGCTGGATTTTAAGTGAGTCAACTGAGAATCAATGGAGATTTGTTTAAGTGTGTAAGTGTGTGTATTTGAGAGCATGTGTGTACCTAAAAGCTCATCTTTTGTCCATGTAGATAACAGCTTGAATGCTTATGCAGGTGAACATCTCTGTGTGCCATCACTTGTATTTGTTATGGATATGTGAAGACAGTTCTATTTTTCTTGGTTTGTTTTTGAACTTTAAGATGAAAACTTTTATACCTCATTGAACACAGAGGGGCTGTTTGTATTTTTGAGTTTCAGCATGCTGTGTTTATGTTCGTGTTGTTTGTGTGTGTGTTTCTGGCAGGTCTGGTTGAGGAGTTTAAAGAAATTGCTGTAGGTCTCTGAATGCGTGTCAGTGAGTGCACTTAGAGCAGGAGTAGTCAGCGTGATATGTTTTCATAGAATTGCTTGTGTTCATGTCAGACAGTTCATATGGTTTAACAAGGGCCAGGGGCATATACTTTGAAACGGGATTATGAGACATGTTAAATAATAATAAAACCTCCTAAAAGCCATTTAATTAAATTGAAATGATACATCTTGCAAAATTGGAACACCATTATGCAGAATATACATACATTCTCCCCACAAAAATGTTTTTAGATCTATAGATAAGTTTGTCACAAGAATATTCAGTTGCTATGGAATGTTGGATGGTTGCTAGCAGTGTTCATTTTGACAGCAAATTTTGATTTCATTTTGACTTAGACTTAAATGCCATTTAGTTTGTCATATTTTAGTAATCTGAATGGTTTTAGTTTAGTTTCAGTTGACTAAATATAATCAGATTTTAGTGGAATAAATCTACAGTAGATCTACAATCTAATGGGTTTCGTTAAATTTAACTACACTAAATTTAACTAAACCCATTAGATTGTAGATTTAATATTGCAATTTAACTTAAATTATAATGCAGTCTTTAGCCCAAGCGGACATTGGTCAGATAGTTTGATGCCTCCTTAGAATCTTTTCGTAAATTAATTTATCAAAGGAATTAGTTATTCCTTATGAAGAAAGTCCTTCTTATGAAGAAAGTCCTGTTTAATTTATGATTTTAGTTAGAAAAATTCAGTTCACTTGGTATTCAGAGGCCTGTGACCTGCTTATATATATTTTTATTCTGGGCACAGCAACTTATTTTATATGGCTTTTGAATATTCAGTCTGGTGCTGTCAAGAGGAAAGTGCGCTAAAATCCTTTTCCCTTTGCAGGTGATATGTTTGTAAGCTATGATGAATATGCTAATACCTCTCGTTGAATATGCAAATAATTCTCAGTCTAAGTAGCCAGTAGGATAAAGGCTGGACTGAGCTTCTCTAAATCCATGAGTCCATGTGTCTTGAGTGTTTTGGTGTGTGTGTGTGTGTGTGTGTGTGTGTATCTGTGGCTGGTTTGCAGTGAGCAGTTACTATCGTGTAAACATTAATGTTTTTTTAGCCTGTGGTGTGTGTCTGTCCATACGTGTGTCCTAAGGTATTTGGTTCTGTGTCTGTATGTATTTCTGTGGTGGTGGGTCAAAGTTGGAAGTGCTTTTAAAGGCAGTATTTTCACACTCCCACTAAAGGGAGACGGAGATGTGTACATGTGTGTCTGTGCCAGAGGTTTGTACACGCATGCACATTAATGTGCTTTATTTAACCGTTGCCAGAGGCTCACCAACACAATGCTGGAATATCACAGCGCCAGAATCTGGCTCACATTTGGCTCAGCATCATAAAGCCTAAGGGCAGGATCTGCTGATGTTTCAAAACCCAAACAACAAGCTGCTTTATGTAGTGTGTGTGTGTGTGTGTGTGTGTGTGTGTGTCTGTTATTTGTCCACTGGGACATTCACGTCTACAGGTTTTTACAGAGCTTCTACTCATCGCTAACAAAGTATGTGTGTGCATAAGCTAGACCCCTGCTGATACAGTGATGGTACAATTTATAGGATTTTTATCCAAATGTTCCTGATTAAAATACAGTCATTAATGTTCATTGACTCCCTCTGCCAATGCATTGATGAAATTATCAGTTGGATGTGCCAAAATTTTCTTCAGTTAAACAAGGAGAAAACTGAAGTCATTGTATTTGGAAACAAAGATGAAGTTCTCAAGGTGAATGCATACCTTGACTCTAGGGGTCAAGCAACTAAAAATCAAGTCAAGAATCTTGGTGTGATTCTGGAGACAGATCTTAGTTTCAGTAGTCATGTCAAAGCAGTAACTAAATCAGCATACTATCATCTCAAAAACATTGCAAGAATTAAATGTTTTGTTTCCAGTCAAGTCTTGGAGAAACTTGCTCATGCCTTTATTACTAGTTGGGTAAGATCATTAGGATCGAGTCAGTTAGAAATACCAAGGGTTCACACAAAACAAGGGGAATCTGCTTTTAGCTATTTTGCCGCCCGCAGTTGGAATCAGCTTCAGCTAAAACATTAGTCACATTCAAATCTAGACTCAAAACTCATCTGTTTAGCTGTGCATTTATTGAATGAGCACTGTGCGATGTCCGAACTGATTGCACTGTATTTCATGTATGTATAATCATTTTCTATTTTTAACTGTCTTAAATTCATTTTAAATAAAATTTTTAAATCATCTTCAAAGTTTTTAAATTCCTTGTTTTATTTTTGTGATTATTATTATAATTTTTTTAATGATTATTTTACTTTCTTTTATGTAAAGCACTTTGAATTACCATTATATACGAAATGTGCTATATAAATAAACTTCCCTTGCCTAGCTCTTCATATTCTTCATAAAGCTGTGTGAAATTTTACTTGGATCGAGTAAAAATAGAACTTAGAAAAAATTGCTATGTGGTTTGGTCCCATTCACTCTCTATTCCCAGCATGCACTAGGGCATGAATAATTATTAGGTTTGCATTTTGGAATGTTTGCTAGTTTTATGTAAATTTTTGTTGCTGGTTTTGTCGTCATTTAGTAACTTGTATTTCTCAACCTGTAAAATAATTTGATTGTGGTCTGAATAAAATAATATCTGACTGTGAGCTTGCATTGTGAGAAAGGGGTTTAAGCAAAGAAGTCCAAGATCAGAGGATTCCATAGATTTCAGTTTCATGCCGACTTGAACAGCTTAACTTTATAAATAATTTAGAATTTAATGAAAATAGGAAATTGTTAACAATTTGACCGATTTTGAGTCATGACAACATGACATTTTAGGTTCAGTCAAAGCATTTACTCAGAAATAGGAACTCACTGATATTAAAATTCTGGCCAATACCAAGAAGCCTTGAATTATTTTCATGTTATGACTGATAACTGATAAATGTCTGATACTAAAATGCAAAAGTGTTTGTCTAAATAATTTTTTTTTAAATAAAATCTAAAATCAAACATTTTAAATGCTGTAAGGGAATTTAGTAATCAATGTACATTATGAAAAATGGATATTTCTTTTGAGATTTGCTGAAGATTATATGTAACTGTGTTATTAAATTATTAGTGTTTTTATTATCTTTAAAAATATCAGCACCTCATGCAGTGCAGTACAATTTTCACCTTTAATGGAGTACGATTGAATTGAAGTGTATATGAACGTGTGCATGTGTATTTGTTTTGTCATGTGTATGTGTATTTTAAATGTCCTGTTTTCTCTGTCCGTCTCAGGCGAGCGGTGTGAGTTCGACTGGCGTGGTGGCCGGTGTGTGGCAGGCGTTTGTCGTAACGGCGGTACATGTCTTGAGCTCTCCGGAGGGGGATTCAGGTGTGAGTGTCCTGCAGGAGGTTATGAGAAGCCATATTGCTCTGTCACCACCAGATCCTTCCCGCCAAAATCATTCATGATGTTCAGGGGGCTCCGTCAACGATTCCACCTCTCCATCTCTCTCTCGTGAGTACACACCTGTTATCTGATCTTATTCTTAGGTCATGTCAAGGCCAAAATTATGACAGAAATTATCATTTAGGATGAGATTTAGGATTTTAAGAGTTTTTTCTTTCTCTCAGATAGTAGAAATTATATTAAAATAGTAATAATATAAAATATTACCCACTCTCACTGAAACTTTGAAATATTTTATAATGTGTAAATATCATAAATCTAATTTTCTCCTCCGTGATCTTTTTCTTATATTCTCTCCTCTTCCTTTCATGCTCTCTCATAAGAAAAGCTCCTTAGCACTCTCTTTCTCTTTCTCTCTCATCCTGTTTTGTTTTCTTCCACTTCCCCTTGTGAGCGCTATTTTCTGGTCATGTGTTTGATGCGATTGGTCAGGGTTTGGTTGCTGTGGCACAGAGGTAATATAATGGTTGTTTGTTGTAATCTCCAGGGTGACTAAAACAGAGCTATTTTATTTATTAACATGGTCAAATATCAACACATCCAGAAAGGGCACAGCCTTCTCTCATCTCCCTAGACACGCCAGAATATGAAATCCTACTCTTTCTCTCGGTTAAAGTCTTGTCTCTCTGCGCGAAAGATAACCATTGTGCTACAGTGTGCAATTTACAGACTGACCATGTCCTATAAAAAACTCTTTTAAATCTAAAAGTCTTTGCTCAGTGGAGCTTAAACAAGGTCCATCTCTCTCACAGCTCAGGCCTTTTGTCAGTGTTTTGTCTGGACCAAAGTAAAAGATGTTTTAAAGTGAGTCTCCAGAGAGGACATTCAGAGGCATGCCAGCTGTAAATGTATGTTGCAAAAAGAAAGATTGTTATTCTAGCTTTGATCTTATATGCATCTTAAGAGGGTGCTTTGCTGCTGAAATGTGGAAAGTTCATAATTTAATGAAAGATTCTTGAATACATGAATAATAACTTACTCGACAGAAGTGTGGAGTACACATATAAGAACCCATCAATATTATTATGAGTGTGCATACTTTTTGACTTTGAAAGTTTTAATGGATACTGTTTGCTGAACCCTTGCCATGAAAACGTCCCAGGTTGACTGGAAATCGATCGGAACTACTTTAGAGATCATTTTATGCTGAGTGTACTCTTCTTCTCAGTTTGCGGACATCACATTATGCTCTAACTCTAAATGGACCTGTTCTGAGTCATTCCAGATCTTTGATGAGAATTAAATGTGTTTTGTAGGTTTGCCACATTGGAAAGTAATGGTTTGCTCTTCTACAACGGTCGGTTTAATGAGAAGCATGACTTCCTTGCTTTGGAGATACTGAACGGACAAATGGTTCTTAAATACTCCACAGGTAAAAAAAAAAAAGAAAAAAAAAAGAGTGAATTTGTGTGTTCAGAAAGTTGAAATAAATCTTGGATAAATCTATGGTTCTACAATGTAATGGGTAATTCTGATACTTCAGTTTATGTTGTGGTTTAAATTTTGTCTCTGTAATATCGACTTCTGATCTCTGTGTGGCCTTTGCACAGGTGAGTCGTCTACTCAGGTGAGTCCATACCTGCCTGGCGGAGTAAGTGACGGCAACTGGCACACCGTTCACATCCATTACTACAACAAGGTGAGCAAGTCCTCTGAAGAGGCCGTTTGCATCCTAATTTGCTAACAGTTGTTTTCATGTATTCAGAATGTAGTCTTGTGCTTTTGTGTTTGTGTACTTATGAGGACTCATTTGTGCTCGTATCTAGCCAAAGCGCAGTGTGAGTGGTGACGTTCAGGGTCCGTCTGATGAGAAGGTTGCAGTCTTGAGCGTAGATGACTGTGACACAGCTGTTTCTCTGAGGTTTGGCATTCAGCTCGGCAACTACAGCTGTGCTGCACAGGGAAGACAGACCAGCAGCAAAAAGTGAGCATCCACAACCTAATATATTCACCGTTATATGTTCACGTACATGTGAAAAGTGTTGGTTTTGCTCAGGAAAACAAATTTTGTCATTCTTTCCTTCTGTATTTTTTTTCTCACAGGTCTCTGGATCTGACAGGCCCGTTGTTTTTGGGTGGAGTTCCTAACCTGCCTGAGAACTTCCCGTTTACTACAAGAGAATTTATTGGCTGCATGAAAGACCTGCATATTGATAACAGACCAGTGGACATGGCAGGATTCATCGCTAATAATGGCACTTTACCTGGTGTGTGTGCTTGTTTACAGTGTGATGATAGTCACGTCCTGTATTTGTGATTGACTCAGATGATTTCAACATATACTGCCATTCAAAAGTTTGGACGTCTGAAAGAAATGAATCAAAAATCATTAATCAAAAGTGACATTGTAAAAAAAAAAAAATGATGGAATGATGATCTTTCAAACTTCCTATTCATCCAAAAATCACAGTTTCCTCAAAAATATTAAGCAGAACAACTGTTTTAAACATTTATAATAAGAAGAAATATTTCATGAGCAGCAAATCAGCATATTAAAATGTTTTCTGAAGGATCATGTGACACTGAAGACTGGAGTAATGGCTGCTGAAAATTCAGCTTTGCTATAACAGGAATAAATTCAATTTTAAAAAACAGTTGTGCTCATAACTTTACATACCCCTTGCAGAGTATGCAAATATGTTAATAATTTTAACAAAATAAGAGCGCTCGTGAAAATTGCATGTTCTTTTTTTAAGTACTGTCCTGAATAAGCTATTTCACATAACAGTTGTTTATATATAGTCCACAAGAAAAAATAATAAGTTTACATACCCTTGAATCTTAATACTTTGTGTCGTTTCCATGGCTGTTTTTCTGTTTTGTGATCGTTGTTCATGAATCCTACGTTGGTCCTGAGCAGTTCAGAAAAATCCCCCAGCTCCTGCACAGTTCCAGCATCTTCTGCATATTTGAACCTTTTTCAAAAGTGACTGTATGATTTGAGATCCATCTTTTCAGAATTGAGTACAACTGAGGGACTCATATGCAACTATTACAGAAGGTTCAAATGCTCACCGATGCTCCAGAAACCATGCATTAAAAGCCTTTTGTAGCCTCTGAAGGGCAGTAGTAGTACTATATGAAACAATATGAAAAATTTACACATCTCCATTCTGTTCAAAAGGCTCTTAATGCATGGTTTTTCCTTCTGGAGCATCGGTGAGCATTTGAACCTTCTGTAATAGTTGCATATAAGTCCCTCAGTTGTCTTCAGTGTGAAAAGGTGGATCTCAAAATCATACAGTCACTTTTGGGAAAGGTTCAAATATGCAGAAGATGCTGGAAAACCAAAGAATGTGCAGGAGCTGGAGGATTTTTCTGAAGAATAGCAGGCAGTTGAACTGCTCAGGACCAACTCAGGACTCATGAACAACTATCACAAAACAGAAAAACAGTCGTGGATCATCCAGGAAACGAGACACAGTATTAAGATTCGGGGTCATTTTTATAAATTCAGCTATCATTTTTCTTGCGGAGTATATATAAACATCTGTTATGTGAAATAGCTTATTCAGGACAGTACTAAATAAAAAATAACATGCAAATCTCATGAGCTCTCTTATTTTGTTAAAATTATCAACGTATTTGCATATTCTGCAATCTGGGTATGTAAACTTATGAGCACAACTGTTTATACATTTTAAACGGTTAAAATAGATCACAATTTTACGTTTTTTACTGTATTTTTAATCAAATAAATGGTGAGCATAAGAGACTTTAAGAGAGCATAAGAGAGTTTTAAAAAAAGTCTTTAACGACTCCTAACTTTTGAATGGTAGTGTACTGTATACTAATTTTGAGAGCATTTGTGGTTATTCTTGGCCTATTATTGGCTGTTATTATGAGGATTGTGATGTTTCTGTGATTGGCTGCAGCAGTTGTGAGGTAATGCTCTGTGTCTGTATTAGGTTGCAGTGCAAAACTGCCTTTCTGTAAATCAAACCCGTGCCAGAATGGCGGCACATGTAGGGTGAGCTGGGAGACGTTTTCCTGTGACTGCCCTGTTGGATTTGGAGGGAAGGACTGCAGCTTAGGTGAGACCCACATAAAAAATACAAAACTCATAAATACATAAAATATTTCTCTGTTGATCTTTAAGTGAATATTAAATCAGAATGCCAGTATCAAACAGGAACTATTACTAAATGTTAATGTCATGATGACATCACTGATGACGGTATTGTTGGAATGATTCTTTCACAGTGATGTCCCACCCCCATCGTTTCCTTGGAAACAGTGCGCTGTGGTGGGACCTGAAGAATGAAGTCACCATCACTACACCCTGGTACATGGGGCTGGTGTTCCGCACCAGATCAAAAGAGGGGGTTCTCCTGCAGGCTCAAGCTGGACAGTACACCAACTTGATCTTTCAGGTATACACACTTACAAACACAATGAGTGACATGTTACACACAGTAATACACACAGAAAGGAAAATAAATCACTAGAAAAAGTTCAGCCCTTTCATATTTGAAGTCTTTGTTTCATCTGATTACTAATAGAAATAAATTGAAATTGACATTTTAAATTATTTGACTTACTTTCTTGTTCTGATGTAATTATTTATTTATTTGTTTGTTTATTTATTTATTTTCTGTAGCCAATAAGGTGAAATGTTTGGCCAGCAAAACAAAATTAATTTAGATCATTTTTAATTTTATGTTTACATAAGGTTTAAATTTGATAAAATTGTATTTACATTTTAATTTAATGTCAAGACTTACTGATTTTTAAAATGTTTTACTAGATAATCAAAATGGTGGAAAGAGGAAGTTATTTCATTTTTTTATTTTAATTACAGTTGTTTCAGTTGTAGTTTCTACATTTTTCATAACTATTTGATTTTTATTTAAATAAAACATGACAGACATTTTCATTAAAGGCAAGTAGAATCAAAGGATTGAAACCAAGTTTTTCCTCCTGTGTAAAAGCTGTGCTGTTCTAGTGCTCTCTGGCATTAAAGATAAACCTGGGCTTGTTTGCCTTCAAATATTCCAAGAAATGTTTTAAATCATTAAGAGCCTGATGAAAGGAAACCATGATCTCTTTTGGAGTAGAAAACAAACATTTTCACTAGAAGCACAGTGTAAATTAAATAAAACTATATTGACGTCCCATAGCATTTTGAAGTAGACAATTCTGTTCTGATGATCAAGTATAGCTCTCATATCCTAAACATTCATTGAAATTGAGAAATGGTTAATTATTAAAAACCCTGGTGTCTATGTTTCTGATTCCAGGTGGTTTCGGGTCATTTGGTGTTTTCTGTGGCACGGGGTTCGACTCGGCCGGTCAGGTTGAGACTGGATCAGGTTCAGGTGTGTGATGGACGCTGGCATGACCTACAGCTCGAGCTCCGCGATGTCAGGAGTGGCAGAGAGACTCGATATATTGCTACAGTCCGACTGGACTTTGGACTGTATCAGGTACACACAAACACATACACCCACACATAAGTGGTCCTCTAACCCCTATTATGTCGCTGACTAACTGTTATAATCCCGTGTTGTTATCCATAATCTGGAATATTGGAATATCAGATCCTAATCTTTCTGGATTAAACTACAAATCAAACACAGATCACTGGTTTAGTGATTAAACACTGACTTACATGCAATATAACTTAAATCAACTAATATAACCTCACTTTCTCTCCATCTATTTCTCTGCCTCTCTTCAAATTTCTCTCTCACACAGGGAACAGTCATTGTTGGGAATGAGATTAATGGTGTAAAGGTGAAGCACCTACATGTAGGTGGAGTTTTAGGGTCCGGAGAGGTGCAAAATGGTATACGTGGCTGCATTCAGGTATGTAACTCTCAGTCATTTTTGCGTTCTCTGTTTATAATAACCTGATATGATCTCAACTGTGCTCACCACACGTCTGCTTCTGCAGCCTTCTGTAATGTATGAATTATTGGTAGATTTGAATTCCTAATGGTGTCATTAGTTTTTAACAAGCAAACAATTAGTTGAATAATTAATGAGAACTTAGAGAACATACATAATATAAAAGTTCCTTCAAATGTGCAGTCAGCGAAGCATTTACTAACTAAATTCCCAATTCTAGTAATTATTTCCATTTAATTTATTAGACATTTTAAAATAAATTTTATTATTATTAATTTTATTTGTCAATTTTTTAGTATATTAATTTAATCATTTATTTTTTTGTATTTTTAAAGAAGTCTATGATGCTCAGCAAGGCTTTTGATTTTTTTTTATGTGTGCATACTTATATATATGTTTTATTTATTATATATATGTTCTATGTTCTGGTATGTGTCCTCAGGGGGTGCGTCTGGGGGTGCGTCCTGATTCCCCTGCATTGCCCCGCCCTTCCAGAACCATCAAGGTGGAGACTGGCTGTAATGTTGGCAACCCGTGTAATTCCTTCCCTTGTCCCGCCCACAGCCAATGCACCGATGAATGGGATCGACACACCTGTGTTTGTGAACCAGGTAAGATGTGAATTATGATTGATGGATACAAAATGTACAGAATCAAAATGCTTTGTATACATACAATGGGGTTTAAAATTTTAGAAGTCTATGTGAAGATCGATGTTGCATTTTTCTAATTTAATGCATTTTTCATCATAATTTATATGATCAGAATAAAAATATTAATGAAAAGTTAAATTGAAAATTTCAGTGTTAGGTGTGCTTTAATGGCATCACCACTCGAGCTGCATGAACTCTACAAGTTTGTGTAAAATTGATAATCATTTTCTCCAGCATGATTTAAGAAAGATCCAAAGAGCAGCTTTAGTGAAATAAGAACATCTTAACATCAGCACAAAGGAGTTCACATGCTCAATCACAAATTTCCTTTTTTTATTATACTTAGAAGCACAAAATTGTACTTTCTTCTTTCTTTTTGTTTTAAAACATTCAGTATACTAAAATGTTATTTCTAAATGAATTTTATTTCTAAATTAGTTATTTAATCCCACATATATTTTTTCAGTTTTCAGTGTGGTGTCAGACGTCTGTACAGTCTATATGTGTATTTATAAAAATACATAGAGCATGTCAGTGGTTTCTGTTAACAGCCTGACAGTTCACCCACACAGAGTACATGATATACATTTATAAGTGCGTGTGTTGGTATGAGCTCCCATCATGTCTAAATGAAGATACAGACTCGTTCACTTCATTATCATACCGTTAAAGTTGCATCAGCCCAGTGTTATTAATAGTGCTGTGCAGAAAGAGAAATCAAAGACTCCCCTCATAAACTCTGAATTAATTTCTCAGACCTCCTCCTGGTAGAGTAAACCCACACGTACAACATCTCTCTCTCTCTCTCTCTCTCTCTCTCACACACACACACACACACACACACACACACCCACACAGCG